ATGAAAGACCTGCTCCATGACTGAATTATCTCCCCCAGGTCCGTCCCATGACACGTGGGAATTATGGGAGCTACAATTCAAGATGAGGTTTACGTGGGGACATAGCCAAACCATATTATCCAGCTTTAACAAACCTTAGCATTTTAAAAACCTAAAGCATTACAGATATAATTGAAGACTAGTGTACTAATAACCAAACCTGCCTCTGGCCCTTTAGTCACATTTCAAGAGGTAACTATAACCACAAATTCAGTGCTCATTATTCCCAAGCATTTAATACCACTTCTACATGTGTATGGAATATTAAATAATATGTGTTATTGTTTTGCATGTTTTCAAACTTTATATAGTTTAAGAAATATAAAAATCTCAAAAACTTAATGCTGAAAGGAAAAAGCAAATTTGGATTTGAAAAAGAATTCTACAATTTGCTTTTTCCTTTCAGCATTAAGTTTTTGAGATTTATAGATGTTGAAATACTTGGCTTTATGTAGTTCATTCATTTTAACAAAAGGGGAAAAACATCAAAAACTAAAAACAATGCACCATATGCAATCTTTTGTAAATTACAAGCAGCATGTCTAACCTTTCTGTCCTAACACTGTTAATGTCAAATGAAATGAAAACTCAAAGTTAATATAAACTACAAAAAGGCAAATAACATTTGTACAGAAAATTATATGATCTTAGAAAATCTTCTGTACCTGTAAAGATGTAATGAAAGGGTTTGACTATATCTCCATAATTTTATCTGTGGGTTATCGTAATTTCTTGAAATCAACCAATTAGTATTAGATTCTGGCATCACCTAAAACATCTTCCTCAACCACAAAAAGTTTAAACATTAAAAAGAATTGTAGAAACCAGGACCTGATATGAAAGAATTCAGACATTTACTATATCAGAACTTCACAAAGGACTACTCAGAATAGAGTCCATATTGGCTATAAAATGTCATTCCACAGTTCCACATACAGCAGTTGGGGGCAGGGGGTGGAATCAAAAGTATTTTAGTAGTGTCATTGATGTAAAATTCCTGATATAATTAATCAAAAGTTTGTGTCATTTTAAAACCCTTAAAATGATTTAACACAGTGTCTAGCATAAAGGAGAAAGTGACATTTCCAAAGGTTGTTTAGTAATAACATATCCTGAAGGGTGGTCCTCAGAGAAAAAAAGAGGCAGAAGCAGGCAAGACGGCATAAAGACTACACTTTAGAACAGCTTGGCAGTCTCTGACCGGGAGGTGATCTGTCAGAGGGCAGGGCTGGGAAAAAACAGCCCAGCCCTACCCAGCAATCCCACCACTGTACTTCCATTCAGGTCTCCACTCAAGCCGAGAATTTCTTAGATAAGAAAGTGAAAGCATCAAAAAAATAAAAAAGAAAAAGGTTGCCCAGATCAGAGTTTTCCATGGTGGATATAAGAACATAGAGGTTTTTGTTTTGTTTTCTTTTTTGTTTGTTTGTTTTTGGTTTGTTTTCCACATGGTATTATGGAAAGAGCAGGTTTTAGAATATGCAGCTCTAGGTGTGAGTCCCAGCTCTATCATGGAGGAGCCACATGGTCTTGGACCAGGTAGTCAACCTTTTGAGTCTCAGTTTCCTCATCTGAAATTTAGGCTCCCACTCAGAGTTATGTGCTAGAGACATGGCAAGCACCAAGCACAGAACTTAGTAAACATGGGCTCTTGTATATAGTAGACATCATTATTTTTCCCTCTATTGTTCTTTTCAATTTCTGAATCATAAGGATTGCTTGAGCCTAGGAGACTGAAGCCAGCCTGGGCAACATGGTGAAATACCATCTCTATAAAAATTAAAAAAAAAAAAAAAATTAGCCAGGCTTGGTGGCAAGCACCAGTGGTCCCAGCTACTTAGGAGGCTGAGGTGGCATGATTGTTTGAGCCCAGGAAGTTGAAGCTGCAGTGAGCCATGATTGTGCCACTGCACCACTCCAGCCTGGGTGACAGAGTGAGACCCTGTCTCAAAAAAAATAATAAAAATAAAAAATAAAAAGGCAGAGTAGAGAAATCATTAAAATGTTATTTAAAAATACATACTCTATAGTTCTATAATCATCTTTAATTTAATATAACGATACTTACAGGACTCTGATTGTCAAAACAAGCTCTTATTCTCAAAGAATTCAGTCTAGAAGATGACTTAAACAAAACATTAATACCAAACATTGATTGTTACCCAATGTGTATTTTTCTGAACCTTAAATGTACATAAAGCAGCGTGTTAAACAAGGAGAAAATGCCCCACGCTGCCCCTACCTTCTGTAAGCTGAGTGCTCTCTCTCTTATACCTACACACATACCCTATGATGAGCTTGCTCTTTTTTCATTTTCAATATCTACTTACTGCCTACCTATGTATTTCTTTCAAACACTCATATCTCATGACTACCATAAAAAAACTATTTAATAATAAAAGTAGAATTACTCTGAAATAGGATCTGTATCTTCTCCCTACCCCCACATTTTGGCATTGGCTAAGCTGAGAGAAAGGAATAAAGGAAGGACACTTATCCTTCCTACTGGATTTGGAAGACTCACCTGCTTTGTCCAGTACTATACTGCCATATTAGCCTATCGGGCTTGTAAAGTGATGTGGTATGGCCTGACCACACTATCTCCTACTTTGCTTCTGCTGATCTTATTTCACACTGAGCCTCCAGCATTCTGATGGATCAGGCTCCAACCTGCACTCCTTGCCTTTGAACTCACCTATCCACGGGATCATCATATGCTTCATAACGATGAATCATGTCAGATGAGATTATAAAAAAAATAAAAGAATGTAGCATACTAATAGTAAATAGGATAATACTTAAACTCCTGTAATACCTCATTTCTTCTAAAAAGCATAAGTCTTCCACCTCCATTGACAACAGGTAGAGAAGTTATTTAAACTATTATTTTATGCAGAAGTAAAAATAAAATCACCATCCATTTTATGGATGAGGAAATATCTCGAGAGGTTAAGAGACTTGGCCAGGGTCACATAGAAGCAAAGCTAGAACCCAAGTCCTATATTTAAATGGTGTTAGCTGACTTTTTTTTTAACTTTATTTACAATCCTTTTCATTTCACCCTTTGAAATGTTGGCATATAAGACCTTTTACTTCATAAACTTTATGATAGTAATAGTGAGACAGACTGAGCTAGAAAATGTGAAATCAAACTAACCTGCAGGTAGAATCACATATTTTATGACTAAGGCATCCTTAGAGTTTGAAATTTCTCAAATGCCCACTAAGTCAGGGAACGCTGCAGAAATACAAAGTACATGATTCTATTTTTAAAAATTAATAAAAAAATTACTCCCTAGCATTGGAGCCATGTGGACAGGACAGGCCTTTCCATTGCGTGTGTTTTTTAATTAAACCGTGCTTCAAATAGGCCTTCCTATTTATCAAATAAATTTTTTTTTAAAACTTAGAGTACCTTGGTTTAATTTTTGGTTTTACTTTTTACCTCTGAAAGGTTGCCAATAGGCCTTACGAATCTAGGAAATAGGAAATCCAGAATCCTTCCTCCAACGGTGATCTTTTCCTCGCTATGCTTGTATCCATTTGATAAATTAAAGGAATTGGGAAAACGTTAATATACTTTAACACAGGATGAACAGATCAACTTACAAAGCCAGAGCAAAGGAACATTATGAGACAAAAGCAAAAGTAAAATTAAATAAGAAATTTGGCAAGAATTTTAAAAATTGAAAACTTAGAAGAAGAATCATTGTAAAATGTTCTGCTGCTAATAAGAAATGACTCATGGGAGCATATGGTTTATTATTCTTAACCCAGAAATATAAAAAAGGCAAGAATTACAAGTGGTCAGAGAAAGTCTCTTGGCTGTGTGATCTTGTCAGGTCACTTCTGCTCATTTGTGACAGAACGGGGTATGAAGAGGGGAGGAGTTTAGGAGCTGTCTCCGGACCCCTCCAGGTTCCATGATCTTATGGACCACGGCAGTCTGTTCCCTAGTGTTGGAAGAATAGAGCTTGGAGAGATTTGCTGCTGAACTCTGCACTAACCAGACACGGAGTCACAGTGGCTTCAGTGGGACTCTTACAGCAATTTCCATTAGCTATGGACAAGCATTCCAAACTTTAGCCTTTAAACGGTTTAATCATTGACACACCTTCCCTGGTCACTGAGTCTCCTCTAGAAACTCAGTATAAACATCCAACGATGTGTTAATAGAGTGTTTCGTAATTTTGTTTTGAAGATTATTCTAGGTGGGGGGCCCTCACAGGTCAGTAAAACCATACATTTCTCTCCGAAAGTAGACTGCAATCCTGTTGGGAAAGCTAGAGGAGGATCAGGTGGAGAGCTCCGGGAAAGCTGTAATTGTGGTAACCCAGGAGAAAAAAAATCCCCTACAACTGGGCTGTGGGAAGGGGTCTGGGCAGACTGCTGCGCGCTGCTGCAGGAATCCCCAAACCCAGGCACAGGCTACAGAAAATATGAAGCAGGTGACTGGAGTGGGGTGCAGCGTGACATTGGGGGTCGCGGATTGCGGGGGGCAGGGGGTGGAGACTGGGCAGGGGTAGTGCCAACGGACGCCTCTCGGTGTAGTAGCCTAAACTCAGAGCCTAAATGCATGACCAGGGCTAGGAGCCCAGGACCAGAAAACAAAACGCCCTACGTGATTTATGGACCGGAACTTGCAGCCCCTGGAGGGGAATGGCTTCGATCTGGAGCCCTTTATACACTAGTTCTCGGGAGGACAGAGGTCAGGAGAGGAGTGCAGCTAGAATCCTTGGTTCCACTTGGACAAGCAGTGGGGAGATTCGCTGACTGAACAACTAAGGAGACTTTTTAAAACCACTTACCAGAATCTAGAGTGGGAATTAAAATCTGCGAGGGCTTCTTCAGATTCCACAGAAGGAGGCCTTCCACATCTCCAACTTTTTGCAGGCTCCGCCAGAGCGTGCTCCACCCCCAGGCGAAAGCCGGAGACACTCCCAAATTCAGAACGACGAGGAAGTTTGGACCTTTCCGGCCACCGCTCGCTTCAATATGGCTGCCCCCAGGGAGAGAGGAGTCTGCCGTGAAGCTGAGCGCAGACCCTGAGTCCTTCACACATGGATCGCATCGCGGAGTTCAGGAAATGGAAGGTGCAATGTTTGAGCAAAGCGGACCTCAGCCGCAAAGGCAGTGTGGACGAGGATGTGGTAGAGCTTGTGCAGTTTCTGAACATGCGAGATGAATTTTTTACCACCAGCTCCTGCGCTGGCCGCATTCTCCTCCTTGACGGGGTGAGGCCCCTTTGCGCCTGTCCAGCGCCTGCCTTCTAGTGCGAAACTTTAGGAGCCCTGTGTTTAGGAGCTACTCGATCCAGCCTGTTTGTTCCTCTGCGGGATGGTCTCTGTTTCTTTATTTGGGAAATTTAGGGGATTAGATCAGTGCTTCTAAAAGTTTAACGTGGCTATTAATCAGCTAAGAATCTTTTAAAATATAGATACCGATTCTTTTAGGTGTAGGGTAGGGCCTGATAGTGTGCATTTCTAGCAAGTGCCCAAAAGATGTTGAAACTACTGACCTGGGAACTATCTTGTATGGCAAGGGTTAGAAAACTTGATTTTATTATATGAATACTAAGAAAATTTAAAGACTTCGTAGCCTGTCAAGGTATTGCATGCGGGAATCCACTCATCAGCAGCTCTGACAAATCATTGTTACTGCGGGCTTGAACATCACCAGGGTTAAGGAGTTCACTGCCTCCTGGTGAGCCCCTTCATTATTACAACTGGTAGTTTTACGCAGAGATAAGTATGATCGTATATAATTTAGGATGGTTAGACTTATGATTTTTAACTTCACGATGGGTTGGCTGGGGTAGTAAATGCATTTTTGGCTTACATTTTCCACTTATGACAGATTTATTGGGATGTAACCCCATCATAAATCAAGGAGCATCTGTACAAACTATACCTCCTTACTTTTAGGTTCAGTTACCCCAGTCAGCAGCAGTCTGAACATATTAAATGGAAATTCCAGAAATAAACAATTAGCAAGTTTTAAATTGCATGCTGTTCTGAGTAGCATGATAAAATCTTGAGCCAACCAGTTCCTTCCAGAATGGGAGGTGAATCATCCCTTTGTCCAGAATATTCCACCGTATACTCTTGCTGCCCTATAGTTACTTGGTAGCCCTCTGGGTTATCAGATCGACTGTGGTGGTGCATCACAGTGCTTGTGTTCAAGTACCTCTTATTTTACTTAATAATGGCCCCAAAGTAAGAGAGTAATGATGCTGGCAATTTGGATCTGCCAATAGTAAGTCATAAAGTGCTGCTTTGAAGTAAAAAAGGTGAAAGTTCTTAAGGAAAGACTTCAGGGAAAAAAAAAAAACCCAGCTTATGCTGAGGTTGCTAAGATCTACGGAAAGAACTAATCTTCTGCCAGTGAAATTGTGAAGAAAAAGAAATTCATGCATCTGAGGTTTCAGGCATCCACTAGGGGGTCTTGGGACATCGTCCCTGAGGATAAGGCTGCTTGGGAGTGATACTACTTAGATTAAAAACCACTGGCTATGTGACCTTAGGAAAGTTATCTCAACTCTACCCCTTCCTATTCTATGAGCTGAGGATAATAAAGAGTATCTGCTTTATAGGGATTTTGTGTGGAGAAAATATGATAATTTATTGGAAATATTTAGCATTGTGCCTGGCCCATGCTAAGTGCACTGTAAAAGTTGGCTGTACTAATTTTATTCGTGGTATTATGTTAAGAGCATGGAAGGCAGCATATTATTAGGCTCATTCTTTAGGTCCATTATTGACTGATCATTCATTTGCTGATCTCTCACATTATCAGAGCCTGTTCATTTTTATATCACTTCCATTACCTCCAGAGCACTGGCATTCATGCCCACACACTGTCTTGCCTGGTTTCCACAACTCTATATCACCTGGATTTTTGCAGTGGTTCCCTAACAAGTCACTTAACTACTCTTCTCCAAACCATGTTTTACACCGTTAACAGATTCATGTTTTTAAATTACAACTCCGCTTATTTCTCACCTATGCTATGTTTTATTACACATTTTTTCTACATCAGAACATCCAAATGCGTACTCTAGTATACCTTTCAACCTTATTTTCCATTGCTTTTCTTCATCTTTAGCTAGTTACTGAAACTGAACTATTCTTTTTCATCCTGTATTTACTTGCTTTTGCTCGCGTGTTTTGGTTTTTTTTTTTTTTTTTTCTGAAATTTTTTCCTTTTTCTGCACATCTGAGACATGACTCCCCAAACTCCCCTCTCCCACCTGAACACACTCACAAACACATACTACCTACTTGGAAGTAGTGACTGCTTCTGAACTGTTTAGGATTTTCATTTCTCATCTTACACCTTGTATTATGGTTTTTGTTTGTTTGTTTGTTTGTTTTTTTAATCTGCCTTATTTCAGTAAGGATTTGGGGCAACTTACTAATAGGCAGCACAACTAAAAATAAAAAATGGGAAAATCTGGATAAGTAATATATAGATACGATGAAGCCAGTGATGGCATTCGTTTCCAGTCCTACCATTAGATCCTGTAAACTTGCTAGAAGTGGGCCATACGTTTGACTCTAAGATTAGAGTAGCCAGCCCAAGATCAGATAAGTAAGTCACCATCACCAAAGTCGTACAATGAAGTCAAAATATTTAGTTAGGACATGCACAGCAATTCCCAGTTCCAAGGCCAAGACAGCAGAGTCTCCTGTGGACCTATCATATAAATAGTTACTTTGAGTATAGTGATTTCTGTTCATGTGGTTTCCTGCATCCTTCTTCCAGTGTCCTTGAGGGGTAGGTTCTGTGTATACCCAAAGTACCTAATAGAACTTTGCAAATAAACATTTGTCCAATTTAAGTTAATATTAAAATGTTTGCCTTCTTGAAACTTTGACCTTTCAATCTTAGTTCCATCCTTTAGGACTACGTCTAAAGTCTAATTCAGAGGTCACAAATTTATGCCTGTAGAGACCAAGGAAGTATTATAAATGTATGAACAACATAGGTGGCAGTAAAGAGTAGTAGGTCTTGTGTGGAATTGGGACAGTGCTGTCCTACAAAAGGAATTAAAACTTCTTTTCCCTTTTTTAAATACTGTGCTAGCCAAATAGCTAGATTACAACTCAGTTGCTGCTGGTATTATCCCTTATACTAATTCCTTTTCTTCTTGCAAAATCATGACCATATTTCAGAAGATGTTTATTAAGTAGTTTTACCTTTCAAATCATTTTCTACCTCAAGTTATTTGTACTCATTCTTGTTCTGAGTTAACATTACCCAAAAACATACTGAATTGTTTTAATTAACACTTAAAATCCTGACTTGGGATTATTAGTTTAAGAAAGCCTACAATATGCTATGCATTATGCTTATTACTTTTATTAATATTGTATGATTAAAATATTATTTTTATTTTAGGGTATAAATGGTTTTGAAGTTCAGAAACAAAACTGTTGCTGGCTGCTGGTTACACACAAACCTTGTGTAAAAGATGATGTGGTAAGTTTTAAAAAATAAATTTAGAAATTAACTTTTAAATTCACAATTACTTTAAATACATATGACAAGAATAGAAAATTCAAGGTGATTTTTATGCATAATCATAATGGCTAAAGATTATAAAACCTAGAGAGCGTTCATTGCAATGGCTGTTTTGGGGTTGTAGGAGATAAAAGTACGGAAGCATTACTGCTTCTGAACAAAACACATCCTCTTGGACACGCAGGCAGTTCATGGATATTAGACACATATTAGATCCAAATTTTGAATTTTAATTCTGCCGTTTGATAACCCTGTAACCTAGAACAAATTATAGAAGGGGATTAGCGCTATCTGTGTGTTACTGGCTTTGCTGATATAAATAAATTATACGCTGCTTACCTGGATTGCTTTTTGAAAATCTTCATATCTCTGATGGGTTATTTAGTTTCCTAGGTTAAAGAGTTTAGATGAATTCATAAGTTTTTATCAGCCAGGCGTTTTTCATTCCCAGTGAATTTACAAATCCAATTCTGTTTTAATCAAAAAAGATAATTTATTTAACTGGAAAGGACGGATGGAGCTAGAATCAAGTATTGCTAATTCAGATGTTCACATCTTTAGAGTACCCACTTCATCTCCATCTTTGGGCACTGGTTCTCTTTGCAGTGTGCCTTTATTCTCTTCTTCTGCAGGTAATCTTATTTATGGTAGAAATGGTAGCTGCCAGCAACCCCAGTAGAAAGAGACTTCCTTTTCCAACAATTCATGTGTCCATCCCAGAGAAAGACTCAAGAGTTGTCCTGCTCAGATGAGCTGCTCTCCCTCTTAGGTCAATTATTTTTGCTAGTGGAATGAAATAATATCTGTGATCAAACATAAGCAAGCACTTGGCACCTCTGGTATTCTAATAGAGTGATGTGTGACAGGGTCATGATTGACAGCCCCACCAGAATCAAATGGTGTGAGGGAAGGACAATGTTGCCCAGGGATTCTGGGCAGACAATAATAATAACTGTCTCGTATAAATTCTAGCTCAGACATAATATATGTTTCACTGTGCTGCAGGATACACTATAAGATGGATGCAACCAAAGTCAAAATGCAGGTAGGTGCTACCTAGGGAAGGGACTAGTACATGAGTCAAGGTAACTAACAACAAACAACACACATACTAGGCTCAAATGGTATAACATTTACCTACAGCAGGAGGAAAGAGACTATACAAAACCTAGTCTTTTAGAAGGCATCAGTCCCCACAGCTAGCAGATTGGTTCCACAGCTGATCAGAGCAGAGTGATGGCATACACCTCCCTTTGTGCTGCAGTAGAAGGACCCTGACCTTTGCCCCATAGGGCCTGAAATACAGAAAGCTTGGAACATGCTCAGGGGTTCAGGGGCCATTGGTTCTCATGCAGCTAAGCAGTTCCAAGGAATTTTTTTTTTTGAGACGGAGTCTCGCCCCATTGCCCAGGCGGGAGTACAATGGCATGATCTTGGCTCACTGCAACCTCCGCCTCCCGGGTTCAAGTGATTCTCCTGCCTCAGCCTCCCAAGTAACTGGGATTACAGGCGTGTGCCACCACGCCCAGCTAATGCCAAGGGAATTTTATGTGTGCCTGTTACAGAGGGAACAAGAACTTACTGGCTGTGCTCTGAGCTCCTTGCATGCGGTACTATTTGTGAGCTTACTAGTGCTCCTGGTAAGCACTGGTGCTCGGTACAGGATGCTTCTTGGGAACATGGCTTGCAGTCAGGCTTTGTTTGGACCCTTCTCTCACATTACATGTGTCTCTATGTTGATCTAATAAAAAACATTTAAACAATCCTAATGCAGTTTTTGTATACTACTTTCCCTTATGAAAACTCTGTTATGGATTTAAAGTAGCAGTTTACCTCTTCAAGGTACACTAATAGGTGGAAAGAATGGTATAAAAGATTTATGGGAGAGCTAGAAAGTTTAAGAAAATAAGCAAATAAGTTTTTGGTGAAAAATAACCAAGAAAGCAGAGGAAAAAGTTATTGCAGAAAAAGTATGCTGAGTGATTCTGAAAATTTCTACAAGAAATTGAAGTTATGTATGGGGTTAAGAGTCACCAAAGGACAGGGCATATACTTGTGTCTGATATCACTTTTCATTTGTTTAGATTGTAGCTCTAAAGAAAGCAAATGGTGATGCCACTTTGAAATTTGAACCATTTGTTCTACATGTGCAGTGTCGACAATTGCAGGATGCACAGATTCTGGTAAAATTTTGTTGTAATTGTACTTGAATGTATAGGTACATGGGTAGATGTAATTTTAAACTTTTAACTTTTTATAAATATCAATGAGATTTTACCTTATTCAAGTAGTTATGTATTTATTTATTATTTATCGATCTGGTCAATCTATTTATTTTTAATATTAGGAAAAAATTGTACCTAATCATTACTAGGAAAATATAAGTCCCAAGTTATGGTTCCTATTTTCTTTCTTAACGTTTTTATTAAGAAATTTTACTTCAGCATTCTATATTTTGTTTTCGTTTTCCAAGTTTTAAGAAAAAATACTGTGGAACTCCATGTACAATTAAGTGTTTTAAAGAATATTTTATTTTTGTCATTTAAATGAACATGAAGTAAACATCTGTTTAGTCTTCATTCTTCTTTTCATGCCTTTTATTTATTTATGTATATAACTAAATTGCATTTTAAGCAACCATAATGTATTGAGTCTTAGTATGTCAAGTACTAGGGGCACAGTGATGAACAAGATTATAGACTGTCTTGGTTCCTCTCCCAAAGTTGGGAGACAGCAAAAACAAACAAGTGAACAGCCAAATTAAAAACAAAAAACAAAAAAACTGCAAGTTGCAAAATGTTCTAGGAAAGGAAAAAACAACCTGGTAATAACAGTCCAAAAAGCAGCTCACTTGAAGACAGGCTTCTCTAAAAAGGTTTGTTTAAGCTAAGACTTAAAGGAACAGAAAGAGTTAGGCATGCAGCTAGGAAATGAACATTCCAGGAAGATGGAAAAGTATATACAACGTTTCAGTGTGTTTAGAGAGTGGAAAGAAGGTGAGAGAAGGAGGCTGGGGCCAGGTCAGGTAAGGCTTTGTTAGACCAGATTAAAGAGCTCAAATTGCTTTCTGAGTTCAGGGAAAAGTTATCAAAGGGACAGTTTTAAGCAAAGAGTGCTTTCTGGGTTTTGGTTCTGAAAAACTCAGCTCTGCTCCAGCGTAGAGAAAGGAGTGCAGAAAGTGAAAAGAGGTGAGTTAGGAGTAGTTTGTGGTGATCTAAGGGTGAAGTGGTGGTGGGTTGGCCGAAGGTAATAGCAGCAAAGGTGAGAAAGGAATTGATTCTAATAATATTTCAGTGTTTGAATCTACAGACTTGGAAGGTTGCCTGGAAAAGGACAGCCTGAGGGAGGAGAAGAAAGAGGAATGAAGGATAGATAACTACTTAGATCTGACTGGAGGCCCTGGCTGTGTGGTAGTAGCCTTTATCTAGATGGGAAGTGCTGAAGTTGAAGGAATGGGAATTAAGAATGTGATTCATATGTTAAGTGCGAAATGCCTGTAAGACATCTGTTTTTATCTGCTAGCACTGCCATAACAAAATAGCACAGACTGGATAGCGTAAGCAACAGAAATTTATTTTTCTCACAATTAGGAGGCTGAAAGTCCAGGATCAAGGTACTGGCAGGGGTGGTTCCTCCTGAGGCCTTTGCCCTTGGCTTGCAGGCAGCTGCCTTCTCCCTGTGTCCTCTCAAGGCTTTTTTCTGTGTATGCATGCCACTGATGTCTCTTCTACTTCTTGTAAGGACATCAGTCCTGTTGGATCAGGACTCCATCCTTATGACCTCATTCAACCCTAGTTACCACCTTAAAGGTCCCATCTCCAAATATAGTTACATTGGAGTTTAGTGCATCAGCATATAAATTTTGAAGCCCTGTAGGCACAATTCAGTCCATAACAACACCACCTAAGTGAAAATTTCAAATAGGCATTTGGGTAGAAGTCTGGAAGGCAGGCCAGCCATCTGGAGTGAGGATAAACATTGAGAAGACACCAATACATAATTATTATTTTAAGCCATGAGCCTAGATAAAATCATCTGTGCAGAAAGTACAAAAGATAAAGGGAAGAGGGCCTGAGGAACACGAGCATTTAGAGATATTCTCTAAAACATGGTGTTTAATCATTCAGTGGCTCATGGCTTCAGTCTCTGCTCTAACCCTGACCTTTTATCTAACCTTGTTTTAGTCTCATTTTACCACTCCACATCCCTGATGTGTCTCCAGACTTGAACTCTCCTGTTTTTATATCCATGTTCTGTTCTCTGTGGTAATCCTGATTGAGCCCAGCCATGCTCTTCTCTGGGCCTAAGCCTCTATGAAAGTCTAACATTTCAGGGAGCTAACTGAGAAATTCACTCATTCACAGCCTCTTTTTGAGTGCATACAGACTGAGTGTCAGGCAATCTGCTAAGTATTAGGGAAAAGTAGAAAAAGACAGGTAGTATCCCTCTCCTAAGAAGCTTACATTTGTATTCTAGGGGACAGAGGCAGACAATAAGTTTGTAAATAAAAATAATTTCTCACTGTGAGACGTCCTATAAAGGAGATAAGGAGAGCACTCCACTAGAGAGTGAGGGGAGAGCTGTGTTTAAAGAGGGTGGTTAAAGAAAGCCTTTAAGGTCGCACTGAGCGGAGATTGCGCCATTGTACTCCAGCCTGGGTGACAAGAGTAAAACTCCATCTCAAAAACAAAAAAACAAAAAAGAAGATCTTTTTTAGGCAATAGCATTGAATGGAAACAGGATGAATGACAACCCGCCAGGGAAAGCGTAGTCCTGATAGAGGAATAGCAAAAATAAAGAATTTGATGCAGGAAATGGTTTGGAGTATTCAAAGAACAGAAGGAAAGCCACTCTAGGTTAGCGAAAGTAGCAGAGGGTGGAACAAATAGAACATCATTAGTCATGGTTTAGAGCTTGGATTCTGTTGCCGGCTAGTCTGCAAGAATGGTTTGAAGAGGGTGAGAGTGAAAGCAGAGACTAATTGGGAGACTCCTTTAGAAGTTAAGGAGAGAGGTGATAGAGACTTGAAGAAGAGTGAGCAGTGGATGTGGCAAGAGCTGGATGAATTTGAGGTATATTGTAGAGGTAGTATCAATAGGAATTGGGTATAGGGGATGAAGAAGTAGAAGTAGAAAGCATCAGGGCTATCTAGGTTTGGAGCTTGAGCAGCTAGATGGATGATGGTGTCATTTACTGAAATTAGACTGGATGTGAGAAAAATAGATTTATATAAGGGAAAATCAGTTGCAGGGTAGAGATCTGAACTGGAAATGAGGTTCATCTATATATATATATGATATTTAAACCAGGGAATCTCAAAAGGAGAGCATGTACTTAGAGCAAGTTTTCTCAGCCATGGTGCTATTGGCATTCCAGGTGAAAAAATCATTTGTGTGGGGCTGTCCTGTACAATGGAGAATGTTTGCGCTGCATCCCTGGCCTCTACCCACTATTTGCTAGAGATCCCGCTTCCTCTTCTTTTGAGTTGTGACAACTTAACAACCAAAAACGTCTTCACACATTGCCAGATGGCCCCTGGGGTTCGAAATTATTCTTGGTTAAGAACTCCTGAGCTAGAGAAAAGAAGGGACCCATGTCTGCTCCTCAGGGCTCTCTGACATTTAGAGACTGATAAAATAACTTACAAAGTCACCCCAATCAGATCAGAATTTTTGTGCTTTCTATACTTTTCTCATATCATTTCAACAAAGTTTTTTAAGCAGTAGAAGGGACACTGAGAAACATTTTACTCATTTTAAAAAGATTTTGTCCTATTTATTTTTATACAACATAATTAGAAGAATGATTGTTTTTGGTTACATTCTGCTTTATGGAAGCAATCACTAGCCAAATGTCACTGTTTGTTATTGAAGTCTACTTATACTCTTTCTCAATGACATTTCCATAGTTTGTATTTCATTTTCCCCGATGTTAGGAGTTTGATAAAAATCATTTTAAAGCATAGTCCATGTTGGCTAGCCAAAAAAAAAAATAGGTTTTAGGCTTATATATGTTTCTGTAGTTTGTGGAGTCAAACAGATAATGGGATTAGCCACAGTATCAAAATTTAACAAGTTTTATTTTCTTACAGCATTCCGTGGCAATAGATTCTGGTTTCAGGAACTCTGGCATAACAGTGGGAAAGAGAGGAAAAACTATGTTGGTAAGATACGTTTTGTCAGAGAACAATTTTTACAGTGTAAAGTGATCCAGAGATTGAGTAACCTAATTAGACTCCTGCCTTCAGTGTCTTCTTACTCAAATCTTCTTTCTGTTCTCTTATTCATAAACCTTTAGTGACTTACTCCTTCCTACAGGGCAAAGTTCAGAGTTTAGATTTGCATTTGAGGTCTTATTTTATAATATTCTTTTCCACTTACCTTTAACCTGATTCTTAACTCTGCCCTCCTCATCCTAAGTAAGCAAGGCCCAAAAGCGCTGTGACATCATGGAAAGAGTCACAGAGGGAGTTCAGAGTCCCCTGTACTGACACCTGCTAGATCACAGCTCTACTATGTGAACTTGGGCCAGCTTCTCCATCCTTCAGGGTCTGAATTTTCTCAGCAGTATCTGTGGTCCAGCAAACTACTGTCCTAGGGCCACATTCAGCCCACATGGGGCCAGATTCCACTGTACTCATTTGATTCATTATTGTCTGAGGTTGGTTTTGTGAGACAATGGCAAAATTTCATAGTTGTACAGCTTGCAAAGTCAGAAGGTGTTTACTGTCTGTCCTTTTAGAGAAAAGTTTTGCCAACCTTTTGACTAGATGATCTTAAAAGACTTGCATTCTTTTTGAGTCCTCTGGTCAAGCTAGCCCTTAGATATTTTTCCCTATTGTAATCTCCTGTGGTATTTATAGTCTGGCATGGCTTGCATTGTTTGTTTTTGAACTATTTGAGGTTACCCTCCTTCTACCTTCCTATACCCTCCTATTTTCTATTTTGAACAATAACCTATGTCTCAAATAGGAGTGGGTTACAAAAGAGCACACCCATAAAGCATAAATAGAAAATAAAACAAAAACAAAAAAAAACCTCAGGGCCTCCAAACGTTTTCCTGATATTCAAAGTCTTAACCAGGTATTTTGCATCTACCTGTTTATGTTTATATCCCACTCCGTACTTATGCTCTAGCCATATAGAACTATTAGTTGTTTTCCAAGAGTATCATGCTGTTGCACGTCTCTCTGCCCACAGATAAGTTGTTCCTCTGGCTGGAGTTCTCCCCATCTTTTTTTTTTTTTTTTTGAGATAGAGTTTCTCTCTTGTCGCCCAGGATGTAGTGCAGTGGCACGATCTTGGCTCAGTGCAACCTCCGCCTCCAGGGTTCAAGTGATTTTCCTGCCTCAGCCTCCCAAGTAGCTGGGATTACAGGCCCTTGCCACCATGCCCAGCTAGTTTTTGTATTTTTAGTAGAGATGGGGTTTTACCTTGTTGGCTGGGCTGGTCTCAAACTCCTGACCTCAGGTGATCCACCAGCCTCGGCCTCTCTTAATTTTTATGTCTGGTGAAATTGCACTCATTCTTCAAAATCCCAACTCAATTGCTGCTTTTCCCATAAGGCTGAGTCCTTAGACTCAGTTAGTTGCTTCTCTTCAACATTTTCTTGGCATTGTGTGTGTGTGTGTGCGCGCGTGCGCGCGCGCATGTGTATTTCTTCCGTCATAACTCTTAAAGCCAGAGACCATGTTATGGACACCCTGTATCTTCATGCCTTATAGGGGGCCCAGAACATTGCAGATGCTCAATAAAAGTTAATGGAGTGAATTTTTAGTCTCTTAATAATTTTTGTAGCATTTGTATGGTTGTTCTTAACCTCAATCCAGTGTTTGGCTTTACTTGGAACATGCTGACTGTTTCATCAACAAGGCTATTAAGATTGTTAACCCCCAAGCACTGAGAAGCAGGCATTGTGTATGATAGAGGAGGCACTGTTTACTCTTGGCACCATACTCTGCTCCAGGAGCACTGAGACTCTTTGCCATCTAGTTCCTTTGACTTTCCCTTAACATTTCTATTGAGGTTTTATTTCTTTGTTTTCTTTAAGTTGTATATTGTGGCTTTCTAAGCTATAATGAGATAGAAATTGTTATTTGATTCTTTGATAACATCTGCTTCTCTGAAAGACAATGTATAGAATGCCTTTCTTTAGAAATGACTGTAGATGATGGGAAAATTCTATTTAATCTCCTTTGATTCAACTGTGTTCAGCTAAATTATATCAAAGCACAAACCTAACTACTGTAATGGAACTAAAGTATGTTCAAACACAGCCCAGACTGGGACTTTTCTTTAGTTACTTTCAGTGTCTCTGGTATCTAAGTCTTCATATCTAAATTGTTTTTACCTTATAGGCTGTCCGGAGTACACATGGCTTAGAAGTTCCATTGAGTCATAAGGGAAAACTGATGGTGACAGAGGAATATATTGACTTCCTGTTAAATGTGGCAAATCAAAAAATGGAGGAAAACAAGAAAAGAATCGAGAGGTATATTATATTTCCATGTTATTCTTACATGCCTAGGTCATCCTTGAAAACATTGATGCATGCCATCTTCAGTTTATAATGCCAACTGCTTATCCATTTGTAGATAATTAAAAAATCTATTTTATTATCATCAGTAATAAAAAAGATTATCAAAGTAATAGATAAGAGTAGGTCAGGCTGCCATGGGCATATATGGAGCATAAGGGAGAGTCTCTCTGGGGGATGGTAGGGCACATGATCACCAGAAGCCAAAAGAAAGGGGAGAAACATAATCATTTGGGAAAGACAGCCCAACAGCCACAGGAACTGTAACTGATCAAGCTGAAGGCAGCCAGGGAAGAGGTGCACCCTGTCCCTAGATGTGATCTATCAGAGATTACCTAGACTCTCCTGAGGATAACAGCCTGGTCAACTTTTTTTGTCTGATTAATATTTCACATTTCTGGCTTAGTTTTTTTTGTCTGATTAATGTTTCACATCTCTAGTTTAATACCAAACTCTTGTCATGGACTAGATCTAGAATTGCCATAACTTTCTAAGTAGGAAGATATGGCTTTCAGTTCACATCTCCGTACTTCTTTTGTTCTTCAGCTTCACCTCCTGGCAAAGGAAACTCTTTTATTACTTTCTTTTACAACTTTTTTCCCAACCTTTTTATATATAAAGAATAAAGTTTATATATGAAGCAGTACATATTATGCTGTCTTTCATATATGAAAGTAATGCCACTGACCTACCATCAGCAAGATGCACAGTTTTGTTATTCAAGGAGTAATAGCCAAGTTGATGTCATTTATAATTTCCTTTTTTTCTTCTCCCCACCCTTTTGGCTACCTCACATTCAATCAATCACTGCCTAAATATCTCTTCAGTCATTCTGCCTCCATCCATACTGCTTCTTTCCTCATTCACGACCATCGCAATAGCCTCGTTCACTGGTCTCATACAGGATGCTTCTCGTATGCCTCTCTGCTAAGCCATTCTTTATCAAGTCATGTTTGTAAAGTGCAAAAGATTCCTATTGCTTAACTTGCCTGTTTACATTCTTTAATACTTAGAACTTTTCCTGAAGCCGTTAAGGCCAGAAGTGCTAGTGGTGGCAGTGTAAAAGGGTGAAATGAGGAAGAAATAGGCCACAAAGGCAGAACTGGGTTAAAATCCTGGTTCTGAGTTACTCAGTCTGGTTCCACCAAATGGCTCAATTCTCTGGACTTCAATTTTCTTATCTCTAACTTCTGGGAAATGCCTATCCTAAAGAATAATTGCTATGTGCACTAGATATGTAGAATGACTGCTCTGACCGTATTATGTTTTGGACTGTCAGGACAAGATAGCCCTTCTCTTTCTATATTGATTCATGGAGAATAAACTTATAACTATAAAAATACTTGCCATCCATGCTTTCTCAGCTAGGGTTCCTCATTTGAACCACAGAATTCACAAAATTATTTGAGTGAATATTTTCTGAATTATCTCAAGGATTTTATGTAACATGTACCATTTTAGATACATTGGAGAAAAGTTAATTCATTACTTACAATGGATGTCTTAGGGTACTAGAGCTTAATTTTCTAACTACACGCTGGATGAGGAAAAACTGAGCACAAAAATCTGGCCACAAAATGCTCTGAGCAAGTATTCTAACTAAAATAAAATTTTAAATAAGCAGCTACCCACTCCACCACCCTATAGACTACTATACGTAAGTATTTACTGGTACCATTCCATAAGTTTACCACTTACTAAGCTGTAATCCTGTGAGACTGTTTGCTAAACATAGGAGGTAGCAAATCAGTTTTCTCTATTTCCTTATTTGAATTTTAACAAGCTTATAAATATAGCCCAAGATCAACTAACTATACACCTGGTGAAGTTAATTGAGCTACGTTCACCAGCTATAAAATCAAATTATGCTTAAATCCATTGACTCAAAAATATGTTTTGAGATTATAATGTGCATGCTGCCATCAAGAGCCATACTTATCATGTAAAATCAGGGAAAAATTAAAGAAGGGTAAAAATGTCTTAAGATACTGATTAGAAGATTACATATGAATTCAGAAAGTGAGAACAAATTAAGGAGCTCCTTTGGGAACAGCTGTATGTTCAACCAAATGCAGAGAAAGAGTTACTCTTCTGATGTTGAAAAGAGAAAAAATAAATACTGGAGGTGATGAGTTATGCAATCAGACATTCATTAAGTACTAAGATTGGTTTGTCATAGGACCAAAGTTTCACAATTCAAGTATCTATAATAGACTTTCCAAAACTCAAAAAATCCTAAAGAAACATTTCAGCAGTAAGAAATGTTCTGGAAATGTGAAAATGAAAGAGATAAAATATTTTTAATAGAAAAAGGCCTTGTTCATGAGAAATAATTCCTAAGGCCAGTTCTTAGTGGGAAGAGACTTATCCATTGGGCCTGTTGTTTCTGGAGCTGGGCAAGACAAGGCCTTCAAGCAGCAACCTGCTTTATAAACAACTAATTTGGAGACTAGAAGAAACAGGGACTGATACCAGATGGAGGAAGATAATTCATATATAACGATGTAGAGAAATTTGGATATCTATTGACTACAAAAGGAAGGCTATCTTTATATTTAATAAGCAGTTAGCACATAGGTCAAATGAAACCACCATTTGGCTATGAGTAGCACAAAATTAGCCATGTTCTTTTCACCAACTGTGTAATGAGAAAATACTAAATAAAATATACAATAAAGTGGCAGAATATATTGTCATATAGTAATGTTGATAAAGCAAATCTGGAAGAAAAGTAATTGAATTCACTTTCAATTTTTTTTCTCTTTTTTGTGATAAAACATATGTAATAGGAAATTTACCATTTTAACCAGTGGCATTAAGTACATTCACATTGTTAAGCAACTGTCGCCACGTTCCATCTCCAGAACGTTTTCGTTATCACAGACTAAACCTCTATACCCATTAAACACTAATTCTCCATTCCTCATCCTCCAATCCCCTGGTCACCACTATTCTATTTTCTTTCTTTATGAATTTCACTATTATAGGTAATTCATCCAAGTGGGATCATTCAATATGTACACTCTAGTATCTGGTCTGTTTTACTTAGTTAATGTAGGATTCATCCATGTGGTAATGTGTATCAGAATTTCAGTTCTCTTTAAGACAGAATAATATTCCATTGTATTTATAGACCGTGTTTTGTTATTCATTCATCTGTCAATGGATAGTTGTCTTTCCCTTTTGGCTATTGTAAATAATGCTGCTCTGAACATCATTGCACAAGTATCTGAGTCACTGGTTTCAGTTCTGTTGGATATATACTCAGAAGTGGTGTAGTGTAATCAAAGAAAGCTTCATGGAAGAAGTCACTGAGCAGGGCCTAAAATGCAGGTAGGATTTTTATATGAAGAGCTCTGCAGAAGGGGGAAATAGCGTGATAGGTAAAAAAGAACAACATGAACAAAGAAAAAAGAGATAGTGATATGGTTTGGCTTTGTCCCCACCCAAATCTCATCATGAATTTCCATGTGTTGTGAGAGGGAGCTGTTGGGAGGTAACAGAATCATGGGAGCAGGTCTTTCCTGTGCTATTCTTGTGATAATGAACAAGTCTCATAAGATCTGATGGTTTTAAAAATGGGAGTCCCCCTGCACAAGCTGTCTTCACTTGCCTGCTGCCATGTGAGACATGCCTTTCACCTTCCACCATGATTGTGAGGCCTCCCCAGCCACATGGAACTGTAAGTTCATTAAATCTCTTTCTTTTATAAATTGCCCACTCTCAGGTATGTCTTTATCAGCAGCATGAAAATGGACTAATCCAGTAAATTGTTACCAGTAGAATGGGGCACTGCTGAAAACATACCCAAAAATGTGGAAGCGACTTTGGAACTGGGTAATAGGCAGAGGTTGGAACAGTTTGGAGGGCTCAGAAGAAGACAGGAAAATGGAGGACAGTTTGGAACTTTCTAGAGACTTGATGAATGGCTTTGACAAAAATGCTGATAATTATATGGACAAGGAAATCCAGGCTGAGTTGGTCTCAGATGGAGATGAGGAATTTGTTGGGAACTGGAGCAAAGTGACTATTGCTGTGTTTTAGCAAAGAGACTGGCAGCATTTTGCCCCTGTCCTAGAGATTTGTGGAACTTTGACCTTGAGAGAGATGATTTAGGGTATCTGGCAGAAGAAATTTCTAAGCAGCAAAGCATTCAAGGGGTGACTTGGGTACTGTTAAAGGCATTCAGTTTTATAAGGGAAACAGAACATAAAAGCTTAGAAAACTTGCAGCCTGACAATGTGATAGAAAAGAAAATCCCATTTTCTGAGGAGAAATTCAAGCCAGCTGCAGAAATTTGCATAAGTAACAAGAAGCCTAATGTTAATCACCAAGGCAATGGGAAAGATCTCTCCAGGGCATGTCAGAGGTCTTCACAGCATCCCCTCCCATCACAGGCCCAGAGGCCTGAGAGGAAAAAATGGTTTTATGGGCCAGGCCCAGGGTCCCCATGCTGTGTGCAGCCTAGGAATTTGGTGCCTTGCATCCTTGGTGCCTTTCATCCATGGCTGAAAGGGGCCAATGTAGAGCTTGGCCTGTGACTTCAGAGGGTGCAAGCCCCAAACCTTGGCAGCTTCCATGTGGTGTTGAGCCTGTGAATGCACAGAAGTCAAGAACTGGCATTTGGGACCTCCACCTAGATTTCAGATGTATGGAAACACCTGGATGCCCAGGCAGAAGTTTGCTGCAGGGGCAGGGCCCTGATGGAGAACCTCTGCTAGGACAGTACAGAAAGGAAATGTGGGTTCAGAGCCCCCACACAGAGTCCCTACTCGGGCATTGCCTAGTGGAGCTGTGAAAAGAGGGCTATAGACCCCGGAATGATAGTTCCACTGACAGCTTGTACCATGCACCTGGAAAAGCCACAGACACTCAACACCAGCCTGTGAAGGCAGCTGGGAGAGAAGCTGTACCCTGCAGAGCCACAGGGGCCGAGCTGCCCAAGACCATGGGAA